AATTTATTGCTTGTGAAAAGATGGCAAGTAAAGCTAAAATGTGAAAAAGTTCAAGAACAGCTTTATAAAATCCATATAACTTTTGCAGTTTAAAGAATATAGATGATGATAACATGTTGAGAAATTTCACAAACCTTAAGAAACATTCTCTGATTACCTGCGCATAAGGTAGGACATGGAAATTTTCAACAACTGAAGTAGTAATCCATTGGTCAGAACTCTTTCTGATCAAAGGACCCTGCAGTCTACAAAGGAAACACAGATACATCAAAGTTCTTTTGGCTTTGCTTTCTGGCGGGTGAAAATACTTTTAAGTATATTAGCACGACAATCACTATTAAAAAGAAGAGAACCAAATACATAATCCTAGACCTAACTATATAGAACGCAAACAGTCCTTGGAGACGGAGAATACTAATAGAATGATCTCATATGACAAGAAAGTATGCAGCATTATGATGCCTCATGTCATTAAGTACCATAGAATTGATGCAAATTTACGCCTGCATGTCAAATGGAAAATTTATCATGTCACCTTTAGAACATTGACCTACAATACAGTAATTTTAATAATTTCTAGCCTTTCATCCAGATGTCAGTACATCCAATTATGTGAAGTATCGTCAATGCCAGACATGCAGTTTCCATACCCTAAAAAAAAGCCAGGAGGCCTTTCACATAATTACTCTTGGAACATAACAATGTCAACAAAAATTTTGTTTAATGGTCACTTATAAAAAATCCCTCATCCACATATAAGTCTAGCATACTTTGTACATGGTTTAATAAGATAGGGAAAATAGGGAAAACAGGATAAACAGATTATTCTATGCATCAACATACAAATTTCATCTTATCTAATAACTTCAGAAAAAGATAACCCAAAAAAGAATATAAAACTTTGCAAAAACAATTCTGGAATATATTCTTCTAGCTCAGAGCAAAATTTTAGTAGATGCAACTTATTTAGAACAACTAGATTACTATTAATTCAGAAGTAAACATAGTTTATGATTGTGAGAAAATTATCTTATCCAATTGCATGTCCAAAATGCATCTTTGGGACACTAAGAAGAGGAAACAGCACAAACAATAATCAAGTGACAAAAGTAACACCCATAATTTTCTTAATTTCCAATTTGCCCTTATATGCCCTTAAATGCTTGGAATGAAAATTTGGGGACCAAATTGTCTAGTATAGCAGAGATGAGTTCCTTGGGTTGAAAATAATGAAATATGGTCCTAGAAGAGGCCATGGTATTATAGATTAACTTTTATAGTGATATAGTACTAATTATACCCTAAGTTAGTTAAAAAGGCTTATTAATCAATAAAAAGTATAAGAAGGGCATTTTGGTCATTTTACACATCAAAACTTAGAATCTGGTGCAAGTAATAGGTTTAAATTAAATTCTATTTTACTGAGTGCAAGGAGAATTAAATTCTGTTTTGGAATTAAAATTCAAGAGTCTTATAAAGTGAAAAATTGACTATTTCAATCTATACTATGCAGATGATATTAAGTTTCTTAATCAAGGTCTCCTAGACTAGATAGTTCTGAATACTATAAGGTTACCAATAAGAAATAGAACTAAAAGATAAAGGAGGGATAAAGAGGAAATGCATAGAATTAAGACAATACTAGAGAATTCTGTTAAGATTTACATGAAACCTTATCTTAACTAAATTAAGATAATCAGTTGATAGAAAAAAAAAAAAGGAAGAAGAAGAAGAAAGAAAGAAAGAAAGAAGAGAATATGTCATAAAGTTACGGAAGAGGATGAAGTCAAGGAAGAAGAAGAGATGGGAAGGAGAATATGCAAATTAAACAAAAAAAAAAAAAGGAAACAAGAAAGGACTTTCCTGTAAATGGAAAGATGAATTGATGAAGTTAGTCAGGAAGATGACAAAGTCAGGACTCAGGAAGATGATGAAGTCAAAAGACAATGGAATTACAAAGAAAATTAGGGGAAGGGGTAATCAGTAGGCACAGAGCTTCCTGTTTCTGTCCTAATTGGAGTCAAAATCCAATTTAAACCCTTAATGCTTCTATACTTTTTGTCATTTTGTGTCATTTTCAAAAAGCGATCGCTTCAACATCAAAGCGCTTTTATTGCTTCACTTTGCTTCAGTCGCTTCGGGACCGCTTCTTTTAAGTAGAGCGCTTCAGAGATTTTGAAGCGGTGGTGCCTCTGATCACTTTGCTTCATCGCTTTAAGCGGTGAAGCAATCGCTTTTGACAACGCTGCTTTATATATAGGCTTAGTGATGCATTGGCCAAGAAACAAATAATCAATCCATAATAATTCCAAATCAACTCTAAGGCTTATTACTATAATTGACTCAACCACTGTTAATACAGTCTTCTAATATCTCTTAACACAAGTTGAGTTTTTTTTGTTTAGAATTGCAAAATTTATAAATACTAAAACTAAAGTTAAAACCGCAGTCATACTAAACAAAGCTTTTCTTGGCATCAAACTAGTTACAAAGAAAGAGTTAACCAATCTTATTTGGCTACTTGTAAAGAAAATGTCATGTCATGGAAAGACTAAGCCCAAAACCAGCTAGAGCTTAATGGGTATTGAAGGGGAAAAGACAGAATGATGATGTATGATTATTTCATCTATTAAATTATGGCTAATTTATTTCAACAGGAATGTAGGAGGGCTAATTCATTCAACTTGAAAGTATGAGGAGACATTTATTTTAAGAATAAGGGTTCATTTCAATAGTTACTGGAAGTGGGGAGGTGAATATACCCTTTTTGCCTTCTTTTTTATTCCCATTTATTCCAAATTATCTAGGCATATGAGCTGCCTTTGCCTTCTGTTATTTTATGCTAGGTTGATATCTTCTACCGTATGGAAGAGATGGTGGTGTAATTCATCAATCTTTTGAAATGTGTTTTACTTTAAAGTGTTTTACTTTACCGGAAAGCATTTGCTGACAATCTACAAGATCAGAGTTCAGGAGAAAGAGAAAGAGAACTGGATTTAAACAGCTCCGAAAGGGGTGAAAGACAGTGTGATTTAGAATCTCATACTGATGGTGATGGATATAGATGCCAGAGAAACAGTGGTATCGTGGAAGCTGCTGAAACTGGTGCTAGTATTGAATCAACAACACAGAATGTTAACCACAGGCATTGTACCAATGGTTTTTCAGATGTTATCAGCAGTCCCCACAATATGGATGTTGATGACTCTGCTGGAGTTCACTGGGAATGCAAAGCTACAATTGAAGATATTAACCATAGGGTCGAACTTCATCCTCACCAAATTGTGAACCCTTGCAAAGAGAGTGATTTAAGTGTCACAAATGAGGGTGCAAAGGTTGGTTTGTTATCCTTGTCTTTGTCGCTATAGTTCTTTAACTCTTTTATTTCGTTGTTTGGCTTAGTCTTGCATAAGATAGTTCAATTTTATGAGATCCCCTCTTAGGGTAGACATGCAGACACTTGTTAGCAAAGCTTACCTGCACTTTAAGCTATTATAACAAATGAACATTTAACATTATATTAGGGTTGACTTACAGCAAAGCTACTAGCCTATTATAACCACTGACCACTTGACTTAAAAGTCTCAGGGTTTGAATCTGTAGAAACTTTATATGTTAATATTGAAGTTAAGCACTTATATAAGTAAGGTCATATGCTTCAAGTGCTTGCAAAGGCTAACAGGTTTGTGGGTTAACCCAGTCCTTGCAAATAAGGATGTATGTTAGATCTATATAATGCTTAGGCCTTGCATTTTAGGCTAGCTTAAGCTTTTACGACAAGTGGCAATACAGCTTAAAACAATAAATAGTATTATGGGTGAATTAAAACTTAACAGGGAGAAAAAATATCCAAGGTTTGGTTGGTTTAAGTACATTGAAACCCAATTTCTAAATGTTGTGCTTGTCATCTGACAAGGCAATATGCCCAAGGGATGATGTAGTTCGTTTGGGGGTATGTTACTGTAAAGAGTAACACTTTGTGGAGACAAGTGCGTTTTTTGAACTGAGAATGTTGGTGGCTTTAATAATATTGCTGGTGGCTGTGACTGGAGCCTGGTTTGCTTTTTGGTATGAAAGAGAGTCAAGGCCCAAGAAGTGCAATGACATCAATTTTTGCTCCCATGTAAAAATGTAATTAAAAAAATTTAAATCAATATATAGGTGTTATATAATATATAGTTATCATTTTTGGGTTCCCTCTTTAAATATTTTTTGAGGTGGTCGGAATCTAGAAATTAGGCAGGCATCCAGCCAGAGTCAAGCGACTTCGGCGGATTTTAGGAAATATGGTTGGAGTCCTTTTTATTTTCTTATTGTTTTATTTTTCATATTCCTTTTCTTTTGGAATTAAACATATGACCCATAAAGTTGTTACATAGGATTTAGTTGCTATTTCATGAGTGGGGTCTTTGTTTTCAC